TAAACAGAATATAGAAAAATAAACAAACAAAATGAAAAAATAAATAGCATAAATAGTATATAGAAAAAAATTAAAAACTACAAAATAAACAAAGAAAATAAACTAAGTGTATATATACATATATATATATATATATATATATATATATATATATATATATATATATATATATATATATATATATATATATATATATATATATATATATATATATATATATATATATATATATATATATATATATATATATATATATATATATATATATATATATATATATATATATATATATATATATATATATATATATATATATATATATATATATATATATATATATATATATATATATATATATATATAGATATATATATATATATATATATATATAGATATAGATATATATATATATATATGAATGTATATATATATATATATATGTATATATATATATATATATATGTATATATATATATAGATATTTGTTCATATATATATATATATATATATATATACATATATATATATATATATATATATATATATATACATATATATATATATATATATATATATATATATATATATATATATATATATGTATGTATATATATATATATATATATATATGTATGTATATATATATATATATATATATATATATATTTATTTATTGTTGTTATTATTATTGTTATTACTATTATTATTAGTACTAGTATTACTACTACTACTACAACTACTACTACTACTATTGTGTACAATTTCAAAAATTTATGCATGATTTTATGGTGTTTTCTCGAGATTAACAGCCTTTGGACAACAGGTATTACAATTTTCATAGAAAGTAGCAGCATAAAAATAATGCCAAATTTCATATTTTTTATATTTTATATATTTTTATATCCACAGAAGAAAAGGTTGATATAGGTTTAGATTAAGTGAACAATTTTTAAAAATAATTTTAGTATACATACTTTTAAACACACACACACACACACACACACTTGCATACTGTACATGCAAGTCCACCTATTTTAGATTTCCCTGAAAATATCAGGTCTTGCCATTCAGCACAACTTGTAATTACCATCTCGCCATGAAGTGACAAACACCACCGAGCAAGACGTTGACGTTTGCCTCTAATTTATATGTTTTTGTAATTGCTCTGTAATTTAACATTTATATCAGAATGATTGAGAGCTGAATAGAAAAGTGCCGATAACACTGAAGACTAAATACACACACTAATGCACTTATACATATTACAGACTACCCTTAAGATTAAAACACAGAGAGATTATGAACTGCATTCATGACTGACGTAATTCAATTATTCGTCTTTTGATACATGGCACGCAGTGACCAACTGGCGGCAGAAAAATGATGTCCTGATGGCAGAAAATAACTTAATACATTACATTAAGTTGAATGACCGCATTTGTCACATCCAGCACTTGAACTAGTTTTCTTCATTGCCAATTATGTTGTTTCCATCGCTCCCTGTACCTACTTGTAGGTTTCAGCTGCGTATGTGGCTTCCTGTACAGATGGCCTTATGAATTATGGCAAGTGTTTGATCTTTGACAGACAAGACAGTTTCCAAAGCTTATAAGACTTTAAGTGAGTCAATTTAATCAGGGAAATGTAAATGCATTTGGTGTGTCTGTGTTTTAATGTGTTATCCAGCATCATACACCTGCTCTTCTACTTCCAGCACCATTGAATATCAAGCGTAGTGATGTGTGTTAGCTCTGTGCTTGCTGTACTATCCGTCAGATTTTGACGACATAGGCTCATTCTGAAAATGTACCCCTATATACATTTCTGGAGATCTCGAATTATGTAGCCAGAGCTACGTATGGCTGCATTTCGTCTTTAAAACGAACGCTACAGGGTGGTATGACGTTTCCTTTTCATGCAGCTGACCACTTACCTCCGTGTGGACGGCTTTCCCGCTGTGACCAGTTTGCCCAGTAGCTCACCATGTACATCGGCGGATTTAAGACGCAGAGAGGAGTTGACCATGACAACAGGATTCGAGTTCAGTGAAGAACGATTCCAGAAAAGGGAAGACAAAAACAGAAGCCAAAAGCTAAAATAAACAAGTAAACAACAGGGTTAGAATGTGGTAAAATCTGAAAACATGGTAAAAATCAGGCGAAGGCTTTTCTGGATTACTTTTTAAAACTGGTGGAAACATTTTACTGCTTCTGAAAACACTATTGGCTGGGTTTATGGAAGGAGGAGATCAAAATGCTTTACTGATCCAACTTTTTTTTAAATGTGTTGCAAGAAACAAAATTAGAGTACATTTTTATTTTAAAAAACAATACACACCCATACACACACACTCATACGGCAAATTATGTTAACCCAATTCACCTATAGCGCATGTGTTTGGACTACTGGAGAAACCGGAGCACCCGGAGGAAACCCACACCAACATGGGCAGAGCATGCAAACTCCACACAGAAATGCCCACTGGTTGTTGGCACCAATAGCCTTGTGGTTAGAGTGTAGACAAATAGCACTAAGGTGCTCACGGCGACCCGAGTTCCATTCCCTGCTCAAGGTCTTTTGCTGATTCTTCCCTTCTCTCTGCTCCTCACACTTTCCTGTCTCTAATCTCCACTGTCCTGTCCATTAAAGGTGAAAACCCCAAAAAAAATAATTATAAAAAGCCACTGAGCCACGATGTTGCCCTTTTTTAATAATAAAAAAATAATAATAATTAAACGAATGTTATATTAAAGGTACATAAATGTATTCTAAAATTAACATTCTGGTATGTAATTTGTATATTTGATTTAGATATGCAGTTCATTGTACTCAATGGATTTTATTGAATAAATAATATAGTATTTTTAAGAAAAGACAACCTTCGTAAGGCCTTACAATAAGGTTTCACAGCCCGTTTCCACTGAGTGGTACGGTACGGTACGGTTCGGTTACTATGCTTTTATGGCCGTTCCCACTCTCAAAAGGCGTACCGAACCAAACCACTTTTTCGGCACCCTTTTGAAAGAGTACCAAACACGAGAAAGGGTCCCAAAAGGCGGAGCTAGACGTGCAGCTGAACGCTATTGGTTTACAGAGATACATCATTCGCTTGAGCAACAAGCCACAATGAAAACAAAATACCCGCCATGTTTAAAATACCCAGCTGACGAGCCAAAAGATTACAGCGGAATTACATATAATAGCAAGCCATGGTCGACCCGGGCTCAAACAAACCTTGTCGTCATCTTGATGAACAGTCACAAAAGCCAAAAAGAAGAGCAGATTTACCCTGTGCCCCTTAGTTTTTTCAAGCCAGTCTGAAGCACGAGCGGTTTCGCTTTCTTACACATCTCTGAAATAACAAACTTATTGAGCTGATGATAATAACGTGCGCCTGATTATTGATATGCTTTTGAAACCCGATCCTATCAGAAACTGACAAACACAAGAGTAAAGCACGAAAAAAAACAAAGGAGAAGCCGGAAAAAAAGCAGCACATGGTTTTTAGCAAACGTAAACAAGCTGCCATGTTTAACTATTATAAACTCAGAATGAAGAAATGACTCTCTAACAAAGGCTACATGTGCTGCTGAAGATTAAAGACACAGATGAGAGGTTTGCTTTGACTGTAGGCTACATTTTGTGTTGTTTTTGAACCCAAATAAGGACTAAATGTCTGCTGTGTGTAGTTCTTCTGTAGTTGGTAACATATCGAAGACTGTAAGCGTCTGTATGAGTTCATATATGTTCATTTATTTATTTATTTTATATAATTGCAGACGTTACAGTAGGCTATTTTGCGCTGTCATTGATCTGCAGTTATAATCAACTCATGTTGACAGAAGAGTTGGTAATAAACATTTATGCACAAGTATTTATGTGTTTAAAGCATCTGTTTTGTGAGAAGTGCTTCTCATATGATATGTGAACGACCTGTACAGTTTTACAGTGGACATTTATTTGAGTAAGAATGACGTCTACTGAAACTTTTTGTTGTACACGATGCCCACCAAAAGGAAACACACCGTACTGTACCAGTCAGTGGAAAAAGGCCATTTGTTATTGTATTTACTGACAAGAATTTAAAATTAATAATCATTCACATTTCTAAATGTTAGTTAATGGAAATAAACCTGTTCATGTTAACTCGCAGTACATTTAGTAATGTATTTATTTATTTTATTAATGCATTAGTAAATGTCGAAT